CTACCGCTTGAGCCACATCCCCAACCCTTAAAAAGTGGTTTTATCTTTAAATTTTGATGCTATGCCTACACAGACAATAAACGGTGATAGAATTTAGATACTGTTATAGAAGCAAAGTCTCACAAAATTTAACTTCTGTGCATCCTTTCAAGAACCTACTAATGAATATATAATCCATCAAAACCAGTCAGGAAACCACAAAAGATGATATGAAGTCCAGAAAAGAAGTAATATAATAAGTGATAAAAATTAAGAGAATCCCCAATGATGACAAAGAAAGTTACAGATAACAGATGTGTAGAACATCTAAAAGGCAACAGATTCATATAGGAAAGCAAGAGACCTTAGATAGTTGTTGGAAACAGAGGGGTTGAAAGTACAGAAACACTGTAATGAGATTTTTTCAAAGCAATAGAAGATATGAGAAATTCAGCACTAGGTCAAAGAAAACTTGAAAAGAAAAAAGAAAAAAAAAGGGGGGAGGGGGATGAGGTAATTTATTAACTCATGGAAAATATTAAAGAGGTCATAAAAAACAAAGTATAATCTGTTGGCTTACCAAATATTATTGGCTTAGCAAACAGTATTTATCATAATTATGAAAACAATAAATAAATTTTTTAAGTATGATATAACTATATTAGAAAATGGCGTCTACAGAAAAGACAGAAGTTAGAAAAATCTATGATAGTTGTTGAAATAAATTGTAGAAATCAAGCATATTCGGGCTGGGATTGTAGGTCAGTGGTACAGTGCTTGCCTAAAATGTGTGAGGCACTGGATTTTATCCTCAGTAGTGACTCCACATAAATAAATAAATGTATTTTTAAAAAGAGAAATCAAACACATTCGAATTTCTAATAAGGTTTTCTCCAATCTCTAGTACCAATTAGATGTGATTAAGTGCAAACTTAACTTAAACCCCAATTGGGGAAGTACGTTTTTTCTAAGAACTATTTTACTGATAACTGAAGAAAAAATAATCTCATCTCTCCCAAATACCCTCCAAAGTTTCAAGCTTTCATTTAATACGACTTTTTGGCTATATAGCTAAAACAGGACTGGAAAATGGTGACAAAAGTGAATAACACTAGCAGAGTCAGACCTGAGAAGAATACTAGAACAGAATCCATTTGAGCCTGAACACAAATTCATCATAAACCAACCAGTTGCCTATTGATCCTATTCATCTGAACATCAGCCTAAATTAACCTTAAGACTAATTGGGACTTATCCAAAACTGTGGACATATATTCTGTCCATAACTAAGGAATTGGAAATAGAAGATTCGAAACATTCTTGCAATAATATATATTTAGGTACATTTTAAGAATAGTAATCTTAGCATTCTCAGAAAATACTTGAGCAGATTTAGATATTTTTTTCTCTTCTAATTTTACTCCTAAAGGTTTAGATGTTTCAGAGTGATTCAGTGGAAAAACATAAATAGTAGTTTCTCTTTCATAGTTCATTCATTTGCATTATGTATTATTAAGATATATACCTTACTAGTTAATATTTATGGCATACCCACTTTGTACTTAAACACACTCTAACCCTCACCAATTCTGAAGACTGATATTATCAACAACATTTTACATGAAACCGAAGCACAGAACAGATTGAAATAAGTTGCCCCAACTAACACAGCAAGTAAGTGTCGAAGCCAAAACTTCAACTCAGGTCTGACTCAAAAACTCACACTTTTTCCAAAACTGGAAAGTGAAATGGGATAAAATTTTTTTAAAAAGATAATCCTCAAGAAGACATTATATGATATAATAATACAAATATATACATCCTTTTAATAAAACAAAAGCTGAACATATCAAAGGAATCTTTCATTTTATACTCTCATATTTTTTGAAACTATAGACTGAACTTCCCCTTATTAATAAGAACTATTATAAAATTTCATTCTTTCATTTGACCTTTTTCTTTTATCAAAGCACAAATATAGCCTACTGAAAGCATGCCTCATATCAATTTCAACATCTTAAGATAGCAGAGACTTTTTTGTGTTTGTGGTGCTAGGGATTAAACCCAGGGCCTTGTGCATGCGAGGCAAGCACTCTACCAGCTGAGCTATATTCCCAGCCCAGCACAGAAATTTTAATACATTCTCTCAAAGCAATTTAAGTTACCCCAAAACTGAAGTATTGTAAAAGAGAAACAAAGAACATAAAACAGAAAGCATACGAAATACATAATAGTAAGTGCAGTGAGATGAAGAGTATCCCTTATAAATTCATGTCAACCTGGAAACTCAGAATGTTATCTTATTTGGAAATAGGTCTTTACAGATATAATTACTTAAGGATCTCAATATGAAATCATTCTGGATTTAGGATGAGCTCTATTACCTAATGACTGATGTCCTTATAAGAGAGAACACAAACACAGACACAAAAGGTAGCCATGTGACCACAG